CCCCCCCCCCCCCCCCCCCCCCCTTAACATTAAGTCAGTTTTCTCAAACATTTCTTACAAATCCTTCAAAAATTCTTACTGGGATCACAGAAACTTTGATCAGGCTTATAACCGTGTTTAACTCAGCAGGGAGTTGTGTACGACCTCAGATCACTTTAAGGTTGCCCACATTCAAGAAAATGTACTACTTCTGCGGTTCCAATTGATAGCGAGTTCACTTGGTACGACACGAACATATACCGCTCAGGAATAATATCCTCTCATAAAACTTTCCCCCTTGACAATTTTCGTCTTAGTTTGTCATATAATCGCAATTTCATGTGTTAAAATTAAGTGGTTCATGAAATTGGATATGTGACAAGCGATATTTTGTAACTGGGTCCTGCATGATTTGTCATGTTTAACGGAGCGAGTTATATACAACATCGGTTCATCTCATGATCAATGCATGATCTAAGGTGACTAAGCATGAGTAAGTCGGAAAATATACTAACAATATAATAATTTTTTTTCAGGTCTCATCAAGAACGAATCGAAAGCATTAAGAACAATATGTATATACAATTCGTCTTTATACCAGGCTTACCAGCACCAGTTGTTTTTATTAATGATGTAAATAAATACTTAAAATATTGCTGAAGATGCCTATAAAAGATAACTGAACAATGTGTGACTTGTAAAATGAGTGTGTCGTTGAATACATGATGTAAAAATGTATTATTATCCTGTGATATTGTGTCTAGTAAATTTGCCTCCCTATACCACAAATGCTTTAAATTTCAACATAACGTAACCAATTTTGCATTTACTGTCCTCGTCACTTCGTGCTCGGGTGCTCGAGCAATGTATAGCGCTTTCATCCTAGGTACTTGAAAGCCTGGCCGGGAATAGTCTTATTATTTATGCTGTGGCCTGGGGACAAACGCGAATTAATTTCATTGAGTGCACTCACTGGTGAACTTATTCATATAAAGTAAACACTCAACATTTTATATTTTCCTCGATATTTTCCTTTTAAATTTTATGATCAACAATGGAAATATGTGGACTCTGTGTTATCATTAATGGAGTACACACACACTGATAAAATCTGTGTATGATAATCAAGGATTTATAGTGATTGGGCGATAAACTGTATATATATTCCTGTATATACCCGCATAATTTTTTTGCACACTTCAGTTGGCAAGTTTGTGTGATGTTTCGACGGATAAGAACACTTATTAATCGTCATGTTTTGCAACATCTTACTGTGAGGACAGTCGTAGGAGCTATAGTTGTATATTGTTTAATAAAATCCCTCAAATATGGAGTTCTGTACTATACGAATTTAGAAAGGTTTTTTGTCAAGGTGGGTGTAGCGAATTAATTTTAGGCGCTTATATAGGCAACATAAACCAATCAACAGCAGTTGTGTTGAAGAATTTTGTAGCTGGAAATTTCAAGGAAAATAATTTTTAGACCAAGGGACTGAAGGGAACAGTTTATATGAAAAGATGCAACTATAAGCCGTCTGGCAGGAAGTGAAGCTCCAGTCCTGCGATTCCCGTGCAATGTTAGGTTAATAGTGAGTTTAAGATACCCCGGTTTCGGTGTACGGATACGGGTAGTGTCATCTTGTTTACTAGTTTTTACTGATGTCTGTAAATCAATCATACTTTTTCTGTTTTCTTGCAATAGACAATGATATAATGCGAAAAATGTGCACCTTAATTACGAGTAAAGGTACAGACATCGACAGAAATATTGCTAACCAAAATCATGCTACCCGTACACGTACATCGAAACCGGGGTATCTTAAACTCACTACTCTTTAGTTTCTGGTCCGCCGCCCGCATCCTTTCTCCGTAAAGTATTATTTCAGGACTATTTTGTTATTTATAATTAACTTCTAGTTCTTGAAAATTTTCGCGAAGGATTTAACTTATAGAACGATAAATAGTCAATAGAGAGATCCAGCAAAATGTAGTATTGAATAGTAAAAACCGCTGCCTTATCGAGATCACGAGGTAAAAAAACTAGAAATATTAATAGATCATTTTGATATGTAAAATCCTTTGTAATCTGTCGTACATGTCGATTTATAAATAATATAAATGCAATTTATGTAAAATTTCATAACATTTTGACACAATTAGCATGAAAAGGGACAAGAAAGACCACAAAAATGTGGGCAAAACCACAATTGTAATTATGTCCTATAGTCCTAACCACCCGCCCGCCCGCGTCGTAAACGAAGGTAAGGCCGGACCAGAAACTAAAGATTAACTTGTAGTGGCCTTAGGGACCTTTACGGCGACGGCTATTAATGGGCTATTACATTTAATGCCCGTACCCCCTGTCGAGGACCTCATTTTCCAAGGGGGAAATTAGTAATTTTTTCCAGAGGGGTAATTGGGAAAATGGAAGAAAAATGCTCTTTCCAGAGGGGTTAAAAAGCAAAAATGCACTTCCAGAGGGGGTTCAAGTCTCTTCCAGAGGGGTCAATTACACAGATTTTTTTGCATTCCAGAGGGGTAAAATCCCCAAAAGCAGAGGTCCTCGACAGGGGGGGTTGGTTTTTTTATGTAATAGCCCAATACAATGAAATTTATGACAGTGTAGAGAGAAAATGCATAATTAAAGGTCCCATGGGAGTTCTAGACGTCGTCCTTGCTCTGTTTACAACAGCAAACCAAAGATTTTCACGTTTTGTACACAACGTCTGCCTTTCAAGCCGCGAGAAGTCGTCCTCGCCAAATTGGACTAATTGGCTTAGTAGAGATCGAAGTCTTCTCAACTATAAATCTCTGTCTTGACCTTCTTAAATTGCAATAAATTCACACAACGGATAATACAAGACATGTTGATCTTAAAGTTACTCATTCGAACGAGTTTATTTTGGTCGTCGCGTTGCCCTCACCTATTTGCTAAAGGTCCCTAATCTGACCACAGAGGGGCGGGGGTAATTTACAGAATGCAGAACGTGACTTCTGTAATTTTGCTCAACTTTTTACAGGGTTAGGACCCTAACACTTTCGGACAGCTTTTATGTATCACCGCTGAGCGAAATTGCATTCTGCAAATTACCCCAACACCTCAGCAGTCAGAGCATTGCACCGGAATCGCAGGGCTGCAGGTTCAATTCCCGCCAAACGGCTTAAAATTCCCCTTGCCGACCACCGAGCTATTTATGAATTACCTTCGCCGACCACTGAGCTATAGGGTCCAGCCCGACTGGAAGGTTGGAAATTGCACGGCCGAGATTTCGAAAATTTAATAGCAAATATATAGAAAGCATCAAAATTGCACAGCCGATAAAGTTCATGTATATACTAGCTAGGGTGATGCCAGTGTGTGTCGTTATAAGGGTGAATATATAATATTCTGGGCATCAGTTTGGTAGAACAGAATTTTGAAGTTTTCCTTGTATCCCTATCAACTTGCAGCTTTCACCGAAATGGTTAATATAGTCGTACTTTGTTATTTATTTACTAGGTTGAAAACTTAGATATTGTATCTGGAGATTTTTATTGCAAGAGTTCAATCACAAATCACTCATGCATGTTACATACAAGCAATCCATTGGCAATATGTTACAACATGGGTGACAAATGCTATGGATTTACATATAACATTGGGCCAAGAACATCAACATTTAAACAAGGTACCACTGGAAAACCAAAGTTTACTCTGGGAATTGCAACGGTTTATAAGAATAAGTTTAAGGATCTGTTGATGTTAAAGGAAACAGAGGACTGTGCTCCAATAGTGGTGAGTGTCATGCATGTTAGTTTGTTACCGGTATATTTAAAATGGATGCATTGCCATTGATGATGGTGATAATGATGGTGGTGATGATGGTGGTGATGATAACTGTGGTAATGATGGTGCTGCTGATGGTTATAATAATGGTGATGGTGGTGGTAATGGTGGTCATGATGTGATGTGGTGGTCATGAAAGTGTTGATGGTAGTCCTGATGGTGGTCATGATGGTGATGTGGTGGTCATGGAAGTGTTGATGGTGATCATGATGGTGATGTGGTGGTCATGAAGGTGTTGATGGTGATCATGATGGTGATGTGGTGGTCATGAAGGTGTTGATGGTGATCATGATGGTGATGTGGTGGTCATGAAAGTGTTGATGGTGATCATGATGGTGATGTGGTGGTCATGAAGGTGTTGATGGTGATCATGATGGTGATCATGATGGTGATGTGGTGGTCATGAAAGTGTTGATGGCGATCATGATGGTGATGTGGTGGTCATGAAGGTGTTGATGGTGGTCATGATGGTGATCATGATGGTGATGTGGTGGTCATGAAAGTGTTGATGGCGATCATGATGGTGATCATGATGGTGATGTGGTGGTCATGAAGGTGTTGATGGTGATCATGATGGTGATCATGATGGTGATGTGGTGGTCATGAAAGTGTTGATGGTGGTTTTGGTGATAGTGTTAATGATGATAAGCAACTCCACAACTGAATGTTTTGCAATTAAAAAGTCCAATTCACATAGTTTTCCTCCTTAAGAACAGGTAACAGCAAGTTTAAGCAAAGTTTCTTATAGGAAAGAAAGCATAAAGACAACAGCAAGGCATCAAATAAGATATGCAACATCCCAGAAATTGATCCATTTGATTCCACAGTTATGGAAATGATAAAGAAAGTTCCACCACTGGTTTGCAAAGGAGAAAAGAATTTGACATTTTATCATAATGGAAAACTCATGATAACACCAGGTAAAATTCCCAATGAATACCCTCCTGGATACAAATCTACATATTATTACTTGCTTCCCGCATCTGTACTATAATGGTCCATTCACGTGATAGCTCTATCAATTCCTAAATTCTATTACAGGAGGAAACCTAAACTATGTTTATTTGTATGTACAGTTTAGCCCTAGACTATCTTTTCTTAAAAGATCATACACTAACCTACTAGGACACTATGTTTAAACACAGATTTGGCACAAAAAGTACTCAATTGCTCGGTGGGAAATGTTTTTCTCCCAAGAAGAAAATGATTTTTTCCAGCCCTGCTAACCATGCACCAATGTGTTGTAGGTGGAAAATCAAAGGTGAAGAAAGTGAACTACAAGGTCATACGGCTTCTAAGTAACTCAGGTCAGGGTTTCGATATTCACAAAACTGGCAGCCTAACCCCGTCCAACCCTGTGGTAACCCTTAACGAAGAAATGATCTATGCTGAGATTGAAAAAACTGACAATGATGATGTTCAGAAAGAATTTCATATGGAAATCAATCCTCGTGAAGAAGTACTACATAGAGTACCCAAAGCTAAACCAGGGATACCGCTAAACGTTATGATGGTGGGCTTAGATTCGACGTCTCATGCTCACTTCCAGCGTAAACTGGGTCCCATATACAAGTATATGAAAGAGGAGTTGAAATCCCAGATGTTCGATAGTTATTCAATCCTTGGTGATGGTACAACAGTGGCGCTCATTGGGATGTTAGTTGGAAGACATTTTGATGAGTTGCCCGAGGGAAGAAGAGGGTAAGCTTTTGTTTGAGAATTTTTTTCCATTTCCACTCGACAATATTTTCCTCGGAAAGAAACATTTGTAAAATGTTATTTTGGCCGGCATAAATTTTTCATCGGAAAAAAAATTTTGAAGTTGAAAATTTTCAACATTTGACAATGACGTGAAAATTTTCCACAGAAATAAAATTTTGTAAAGTTTGATGGCAACCGTAAGCCGACAGCTGTCACAACTTGTCATTCTAAATGTCGCGTTATTATCTTAATATAGAAAGTTTTCTGCGCGATGTCTAGACCGCTGGCCATGGATATTCAAGGACATGCAGGCTCATGGTTATGCAACATATTACAACGAAGACGAAGTATTCAACGGAGCGATCACCACACGCCTCAAAGGATTCTGTAAACCACCCATTGACCACTACCTCTTACCATTCTGGTACGCTGCTTTGGAGACATACGCCACCACGTATCAAAAAGTAACGGGCACTATTAGTTACATAAAAGGCCATTGTCTGGGCTCCCAAGCGATATACAATGTCAGTTTAAACAGCATCAAGAGTTTCTTCAACGCATACCCGAAGAAATTAAAATTCGGCTTTCATATGAATTCCGATTTCTGTCACCACGAGGATTTCAATTTCATATCTTTGGTGGAAGAGGATTTGTTAAAATTTCTAAAGTATTTTAAGAACGAAGGTATTCTTAATAATACCATCTTAATTTTGTTTGGTGATCATGGCTTGCGTTATGGATTCGTCCGTTCCACCGTATTGGGTCGCATGGAGGAAAGACTTCCTTTTCTGTCCATTACTTTTCCACCATGGTTTGAGAAAACTTATCCTGAATTGTATCAGAATTTGAAGAAAAATACCGAGGTGTTGACTACACCGTTTGACCTGCACGCCACGTTTCAGCACATGCTGTCCTACCCACGGGGACCCGAGGGGTTGCCTCACGGCAAGAGCTTGTTTACTGATATAGGCTGGAGGACCTGCGAGCAGGCTGGAATACCTTTTCATTTCTGCCCGTGTGTCGACTGGAGTGAAGTAGAGGTAATTAAAATAATCAGCATGAGCTAGACCTTTGAATTTACTAAATGAGTAAATTGTTAAACACGTCCGAAATTATCAATACATAACTAACTTATTGGGATAGATGAACCTAACCCCAACTCTAACCCCTAACCCTAATATAATCTTAATCTAACCCTATTCTAATCTTAATCTGACACTAATCTAAACTTGATGACCTTAATATTGTTATTCCAATGAGTTTCACAGCCATCTTCACTTCGATAGGCTATGTGTTGACACAGGCACATGATAACCTGGCGAGGGTGAATATACACACATTAAAGCAACCTCAATATCTCCAGACTGAAAGGGGATATCGAAAAAGTTAAAAATGTTATGCTAAATTCTTCCTGATAAAACGTTAATTAGAGTAACGTAACGTTAATTAGAATAATTAATTAGAGTAAAGGAAATGTTGTTTCATGTGCGATTTAAACTGTTTTACCAACGTGTCCAAACCCATACATTCACAGGTGGACAATGAGGACGTCAAGAACGGTGCATTGGCTGTGGTTGAAATGATGAATGAAAGATTGACGAGTAATGGTGTTGGAACGAAATGCGCCAAATTAGAATTAAAACGCGTCATTTCCGCTCTTCTGATCACTTCCAAAGTTGAAGAAAAAAAGGAAAACATCAATGCAGGACAACGGTTTACTATAATCAAGACTTTGGAAGGTAAAGATCTAGAGTTCAATGAAAGTTAGGACATACGAGTTGACTTGAGTTTATCCTTCATAAGGTCCATTTACACTACACAACTTTTGCCCAAAACTGTTTCATGTAACTTGCTTACATCTTGAGTTGTACTGTGTAAATCAAGCACACAACTCATATGCGACAACGTTAAGTGAGTTGTATGTTTGATTTACACAGTACAACTCAAGTTGTAAGCAGGTTGCATGCGACAGTTTTGGGGAAATGTTGTGTTGTGTAAATCGGGCTATATAAGCATGAAAAGCAGGGTTAATTCAGAATAATTAGTCATTATTTTGTGATTTATCTCTGGTGTCTAGGTGGATGTATGTATCAACTTCAACTGGAAACCTCGCCAAATAACGGAGTCTACGAATCTACGGTGCAACTGATCAGCGGCATTCCCAAGGTCAATCAACAATTAAGCCGGGTGAACGAGTACAATGACCAATCAGATTGCATAAGAAAGACACATCCATTACTAAGAGAGTTTTGTTTCTGCCATGGTGCCAGTGCATCAAAAACGTAAAGACGATCCCTTCTAGTAAAGCAAACCTATATTTTTCACCAGTTTCAGGCCCTTCGCGACCTTCAGTACCTTCCGGTCATTCACTCTAAATGGAAAACGCATAATCCGAATGGGATTTTCTATCCGAAGTATTCCTTACCATTAGCACAATTTCAAACCGAATGGGTTTTCCATGTAAATAGTAAACAACCATTACTACCTGAAAAAAGACAAGCAGAAACTCAACGTTTCGAGCGAAGGCCCTTCAGCTCAAAACGTTCAGTTTCTGCTTGTTTCTTTCAGGTAGTAATATAACCACTCAGCACAGCAATTTATCAATATTGCATTTGTTTCATTGGTGAAGCTGGTTTTTCATGTAATATATGAACAACGAGAGCGAGTGTTTCACCGGGATATCCAAACACGAGAAAACAATGTATGAAAACACAAGCGCGAGTCATACATTGTTTTCGAGTGTTTGGATATCCCGGTGAGACACGAGCTCGAGTTGTTTATATGGCTTCTCAAATGGATCGAGACGCAACAGAATGTTTTCGTTTGCTGATTTGAATAGAATTCTTAACCAAGCAGATCGTAATTAGGAATTCTATTCAAGTAATTTTGCATGCGTAATTAAGATATTTGATGAAAATTTCATCAAGTTTCACCGGGTTATCCCAAATGCATCTTGTGGTCAAATAGGTGATTATCATTGGCTGAATTGCTCATGAATTATTAATAAATTTGAGAAAGTGACATGAGCCCTTTGCATCTGATTTAGTTTCTCTAGAACGTTTTTCAGCGAATATTTATATGATGGAAAGGCCTCATTCCACAGAATAGTTTTCTAATATTTTGATGAAAAATATTTTGATATTTTAATTAGAATTTTGATTTATTTAATTAATTAGATAATGAATTATTTAATGTAGATGCGTGAAAAGGCGAACAATTGAGAGGTTCAGATTTGACTACATTACCACTGACTAAGCTTAATACGCATTTCATTGGTTAATCGAGTAGATGAAACACATCTGATTGGTCAATGATAGCGGAAGTCAAAATCTGAACCACTCTATTATTGCGGATGAGACAATTCAATTAGCCTTTCTCACGTCGCCATTTTTGGGTGGCATTTCAGCTAAAGTCTGTGCGATAAGTCCACATAACAGCGACTTTTTATATTTTTTTGACGAATAATGGTAAATTTGCTTTGTAAATGGTTAGTTTATTTTGAAAAATTGCTTCTCACATTGTTTTAATTGTCTGCATTGGTTGACGAGAATTGGATGCCACTCAAAAATGGCGGATATTCGTCATCGTGAGAAAGGCCAATTACATTGTCCGTGCGCAACCATGCATAGTAATAAGGACTTTATTTTGATATTGCCTTGAATATTTTTATTGTACAACATTGTCATTGTTATTCCTCATTAGTCCAATTAATAACAAATATTTTGATAATTTTCGGTTGTAAAGAAAAAACAAAATTTCATCTAGGCACAATCAATCGAGGTTTGGTCTGAAAGTTCGACAAACTTCAAAGCGTCTATAATAACTACGATTTTATGTTGAGACGCTTTGTACAATTTTGCCGATAAACGTGATCAGTAAGATAAAACAAGCCATCGTCATTGCTTCACAATGCGAGTTATGTTACAATGCATGCTTGTAAATACGCCTCCAAGGAGAACCTCGCTTCAGGATTCCTGCCAACACTTCCGCGTCTTGACATTTGCCTTTCGAAAGACCTTATTAAACATTTTGTCCGTGCGATAATTTGAAGAAAATCATCCAAATCAACACAGCCATTCTTGTTCGCAAACCTCCGAGCATAAATATCGATCGTCTTTTGTGTGATGTTAAAATCCGGAACTTCTTTTAATGCTCGATTGAGTTCTCTTTTATTCATATCAAAGCTCTTGTCCGTGTCGTATTTCTTGAATATACCATACCAAGCTTTCAAATCTTTCCAAAGTTTAGAAAACTCGTCAAACTCAACACAAAAACTGCAGTCCGTGTCGTACAACAACAACAAACTTCGACAAGTCTCCAAATTAAACTTATATTCACCAAGGTCGCGCCGGAAACACGTCTGAAGTAAGGTCTGTAGTTCAAAGGCATCCACAACCCCATCTTCGCCAGCGACTTTCTCGAAAATTTGAAGAATAATTTGATCCTTGCTGTCCACATGTATTCTACGACTGCGACGTCGCTGGGACTCGGGAATGACTTGAAAATTGTAGAAATTGAGCGCCATTTTGTAGCGCGAAGCAAGCTCTCGTTTTGTACTTTTGTACTAGTTTCTGTGGCACGGTTGACAGATGTAATGATAATTTGTGATGTTGGTGTTTTGGTTGTAACAGCAGAGAGCGTGGGTTAGCGGAAATTACGTCATAAAAGGTCAAGTTCCTTTGATACATATGTCGCTCCCTTTCTAAGACTTTACCATGTATGGTAATAGTATTATGTACAACTTTATAACCATATAAGTAATATTTACATATATAGTGCCTGGGAACTTTCGTCTCCGCAGAGTTTTCCGTGATTTTCCTTATTTTTACGCGAGGATCCGCTGACGAGTGTGTTTGCGGACGCAGTGAGCCTGGATCCAAATTTTTAGAGGACAACTATCTCTAAATATTAATAACTAAAACTTTCATATATTAACTATAAACATACGTGACCAGTGTCGAATGTTCATCATTGTCGCATTGTGGGCGTCGATGAGATACTTGAGATTACTGAACTTTCATCAAAACTTGACGTCGTATCACAACTGTGCGAGGTTGATGCCAATCTGTCTAGTATTGTCGTGGCTTGCGAGGTTGTACGAGAACTATCATCCAGTAATTGTCGTAGTAATGACTCAGACAGAATACCCTGAACAGAGGAGGAACGAATTATTTGAAAAACTTGTAATACTGTTACGTAATAATACTATTCGCAACACTGGATCATCAAGGGAATGCTCGTACTGGAACTCTAGGATGAACATCTTAAAACTGATAAACCTTTATAGAATAGTTTAGTTTGATCCCCTCCTGTATAGTAACACTGGAGTCACTAAAGTTAGTTTAGAAATGGTTCTTACTGGACCTCTAGGGAAAACAGTTTAGAACTGATAGAGCTATCCACTTGATAGATAAAGTTAGTTTAGTTTAGGTTTCCTCCTGCATATAGTAACACTGGATCAATAAGAGATGATCCTTACTGGACCTCTAGGGAGAATAGTTTAGAACTGATAGAGCTATCCAGAAAAGATAAAGTTAGTTTAGTTTAGTTTAGGTTTCCTTCTGTAGTAATACTGGATCAACAGAAATAAAGTTAGTTTTTTTTCAACTCACTTCGTCGTGGTCTTCATTTTGAAATCTTTGCAACTGTTCTTCGATCGTCATTAATCGCTGTTTCATCTCGCGCATTTCTTTCTTCTCTTGCAAAACTAGCTCACCAAACGCTGCAATTACAACAGTATGGTTATGATAACAAGCCTAAAAATTGAAGAAACTTGCATATCATGAAAACATTGATTTTTACAGTATAACTCATATGAGACATATTATTAAACATATTATTAAACATCTTAGACATATTATTAAATTAAACATATTATTATATTAAACATATTATTATAAGACATATTATTATATTTAACATATTATTAAACATATTAGACATTATTAAGACAGGCTAAAATTTATTTCACCTGCCAAAATATTTTAGACTGGCAGGCCATATTTTTTATCTACTTCGAGCCCCGTGTGCAAATTTTACTAGTTCAGTACGATCAAAAATTGCATTCTTGTTCTTACTTGGAATATCTTCGTCTGAAAGAAAACTTCCATTTTCACTCCTGGGTGTCGCACCCTGAAAAGCAAACAGAACTGGGTAAGTGGGTGTGAGATAAAACAAGGTAAAACAGGGGGCAAACCCTACCTGCAAAGATTGTGTATCTTGCTCAGTTTGTTCACATAACGCTGCGTACTCCTCGGATGGCATCAGGGACTGGAGGCGACTGAAATACAAAGGAGAATGTCAAGCAAGTTTATAGAACACAAATTTCTTGGGAATATCCATATGACAGGACGAGCTTTTTCACCAGGGGCTGGTTGTATAAAAATAGTTACAGTTAACAATACTTAGTTCTGTCTTAAGAACAAAATGTCAAAACGGCAAGTTAAAAAGCAGATGAAAGAATAAAGATCACTTACATGTCAATATCAGCTAACTGGTTCGCTTCTTCTTGACTCGGTACAAAACCATTTCCATATAAGATCAAAGAATCTTTGTCAACTGGCTAAAAAGAGAGATTGCATCAGTCAGCAAACGAACAAAGAAAGCGAGGCAAACGTTTTCATTTTAAACTGAACCATCTGAACTCTGGACAAATTGTCTCGTACCTCTTCCATAAGATCTCCCATATCTGACAAAATTTCTTCCAAACGTTTTTTCTCATCTTCTGTCATGGCAACCATGTTATTTGCATCTGCTGCTAGCTGAAACATTATGACAGAGAATAAGAATAAAATACCTCCCTCACCCTCCCTTCCCCCATCTCTTCCTCCCTTCCCCCACCTCTACCTCCCTTCTCCTATGTATTCCTCCCTTCCCTTGTCTCTCCATCTCTACCTCCCCCCCATCTCTTCCTCCCTTCCCTCATCTCTACCTCCCTTCTCCTATTTCCTCCCTTCCCTTGTCTCTCCGTCTCTACCTCCCCCCCATCTCTTCCT